GTTGTGGACAGGTGGCACTAGTGTTTGTGGACAGGGTGGCACTAGCAGGCTGGCACTAGTGTTTGTGGACAGGCTGGCACTAGTGTTTGTGGACAGGCTGGTGTTTGTGGACAGGCTGGCACTGGCACTAGTGTTTGTGGACAGGCTGGCACTAGTGTTTGTGGACAGGCTGGTGTTTGTGGACAGGCTGGCACTAGTGTTTGTGGACAGGCTGGCACTAGTGTTTGTGGACTGGCACTAGTGTTTGTGGACAGGCTGGCACTAGTGTTTGTGGACAGGCTGGCACTAGTGTTTTGGACAGGCTGGCACTAGTGTTTGTGGACAGGTGGCACTAGTGTTTGTGGACAGGCTGGCACTACAGGCTGGCACTAGTGTTGTGGACAGGCTGGCACTAGTGTTTGTGGACAGGCTGGCACTAGTGTTTGTTGGCACTAGTGTTTGTGGACAGGCTGGCACTAGTGTTTGTGGACAGGCTGGCACTAGTGTTTTGTGGACAGGCTGGCACTAGTGTTAGTGTTTGTGGAGAGGCTGGCACTAGTATTTGTGGACAGGCTGGCACTAGTGTTTGTGGACAGGTGGTTTGTAGACAGGTTGGCACTAATGTTTGTGTGGCACTAATATTTGTGGACAGGCTGGCACTATTGTTATTAGGACAGGCTGGTACTAATGTTTATGGATAGGCTGGCACTAGTGTTTGTGGACAGGCTGGCACTAATGTCTGTGGATAGGCCTGCACTATTTTTTTTTCTGGACAGGCTGGCACTATTGTTTGTGGACAGGCTGGCACTAGTATTTGTGGACAAGCTGGCACTAGTGTTTGTGGAGAGGCTGGCACTAGTGTTTGTGGACAGGCTGGCACTAATGTTTCTGGACAGGCTGGCAGTAATGTTTGTGGACAGGCTGGCAGTAATGTTTGTGGACAGGCTGGCACTAATATATGTGGACAGGCTGGCACTAATGTTTGTGGACAGGCTGGTACTTATGTTCGTGGACAGGCTGGCACTAGTGTTTGTGGACAAGCTGGCAGTATCTTTTCTGGACCGGCTGGCACTAATGTTTCTGGACAGGCTGGCAGTAATGTTTGTGGACAGGCTGGCACTAATGTTTGTGGACAGGCTGGCACTAATGTTTGTGGACAGGCTGGCACTAATGTTTGTGGACAGGCTGGCACTAGTGTTTGTGGAGAGGCTGGCACTAATGTCTGTGGATAGGCCTGCACTATTTTTTCTGGACAGGCTGGCACTAATGTTTGTGGACAGGCTGGCACTAGTGTTTGTGGACAGGCTGGCAGTAATGTTTGTGGACAAGCTGGCAGTAGTGTTTGTGGACAGGCTGGCACTAGTGTTTGTGGAGAGGCTGGCACTATTGTTTGTGGAGAGGCTGGCACTAATGTTTGTGGACAGGTTGTCACCAATGTTTGTGGACAGGTTTGCACTATTGTTTGTTGACAGGCTGGCCCTAATGTTTGTGGACAGGTTGGCACTAATGTTTGTGGACAGGCTGGCACTGTTTGTGGACAGACTGGCACTGTTTGTGGACAGGCTGGCACTAGTGTTTGTGGACAAGCTGGCACTAATATTTGTGGACAGGCTGGCACTTGTGTTTGTGAACAGGCTGGCACTAGGGTTTGTGGACATGCTGGCACTAATGTTTGTGGATAGGCAGGCACTAGTGTTTGTGGAGAGACTGGCAGTAGTGTTTGTGGAGAACCTGGCACTAGTGTTTGTGGACAGGCTGGCACTAGTGTTTGTGGAGAGGCTGGCAGTAGTGTTTGTGGACAGGCTGGCACTAGTATTTGTGGACAGGCTGGCACTAGTGTTTGTGGACAAGCTGGCACTAGTGTCTGTAGACAGGTTGGCACTAGTGTTTGTAGACAGGTTGGCACTAATGTTTGTGGACAGGTTGGCACTAATATTTGTGGACAGGCTGGCACTATTGTTTTTAGGACAGGCTGGTACTAATGTTTATGGATAAGCTGGCACTAGTGTTTGTGGACAGGCTGGCACTAGTGTTTGTGGACAGGCTGGCACTAGTGTTTGTGGACAGGCTGGCACTAGTGTTTGTGGACAGGCTGGCACTAATGTTTTGGACAGGCTGGCACTAGTGTTTGTGGACAGGCACTGTGCAGGCTGGCATAATGTTTGTGGACAGGTTGCACTATTGTTTGTGGACAGGCTGGCACTAATGTTTGTGGACAGGTTGGCACTAATGTTTGTGGACAGGCTGGCACTAATGTTTGTTGGCACTAGTGTTTGTAGACAGGCTGGCACTAGTGTTTGTGGACTGGACACTAGTGTTTGTGGACAGGCTGGCACTAATGTTTGTGGACAGGTTGGCACTAATTGTTTGTGACAGGCTGGCACTAATGTTTGTGGACAGGCTGGCAGTAGTGTTTGTGGAGAGGCTGGCAGTAGTGTTTGTGGACAGGTTGGCACTAGTGTTTGTGGATAGGCAGGCACTAGTGTTTGTGGACAGGCTGGCACTAGTGCAGGCAGGCACTAGTGTTTGTAGACAGGCTGGCACTAGTGTTTGTAGACAGGCTGGCACTAGTGTTTGTGGACCGGCTGGCACTAGTACTTGTGTACAGGCTGGCACTAATGTCTGTGGATAGGCCTGCACTATTTTTTCTGGACAGGCTGGCACTAGTGTTTGTAGACAGGCTGGCACTTGTGTTTGTGGACAGGTTGGCACAATTTTTTCTGCACAGGCTGGCACTAATGTTTGTGGACAGGCTCGCACTTTTTTTCCTGGACAAGCTGGCACTAATGTTTCTGTACAGGATGACACTATCTTGTCTGGACCGGCTGGCACTAATATTTCTGGACAGACTGGCACTATCTTTTCTGGCCCGGCTGGCACTAGTGTTTGTGGACAGGCTGGCACTGTTTGTAGGACAGGCCTGGCACTAATGTTTGTGGACAGGCTGGCACTTAATGCTTTGTGGACAGGCTGGCACTAGTGTTTGTGGACAGGCTGGCACTAATGTTTGTGGACAGGCTGGCACTAGTGTTTGTGGAGAGGCTGGCACTAATGTTTGTGGACATGCTGGCACTAATGTTTGTGGAGAGGCTGGCACTAATGTTTGTGGACATGCTGGCACTAATGTTTGTGGACAGGCTGGCAGTAGTGTTTGTGGACAGGCTGGCACTAATGTTTGTGGACAGGCTGGCACTAATGTTTGTGGATAGGTTGGCACTAATGTTTGTGGACAGGCTGGCACTAATATTTGTGGACAGGTTGGCACTAATGTTTGTGGACAGGCTGGCACTAATATTTGTGGACAGGCTGGCACTAATGTTTGTGGACAAGCTGGCACTATTGTTTTGACAGGCTGGCAGTTTGCAGGCTGGCACTAAGTGTTTGTGGAGAGGCTGGCAGAGTGTTTGTGGAGAGCTGGTAGTAGTGGCAGTAGTGTTTGTGGAGAGGCTGGCACTAGTGTTTGTGGAGAGGCTGGCACTAGTGTTTGTGGAGAGGCTGGCAGTAGTGTTTGTGGAGAGGCTGGCAGTAGTGTTTTGTGGAGTGGCAGTAGTGTTTGTGGAGAGGCTGGCAGTAGTGTTTGTGGAGAGGCTGGCAGTAGTGTTTGTGGAGAGGCTGGCAGTAGTGTTTGTGGAGAGGCTGGCAGTAGTGTTTGTGGAGAGGCTGGCAGTAGTGTTTTGTGGAGAGGCTGGCAGTGTGTTTGTGGAGAGGCTGGCAGTAGTGTTTGTGGAGAGCGGCTGGCAGTAGTGTTTGTGGAAGGCTGGCAGAGAGGCTGGCAGTGTTTGTGGAGGCTGGCAGTAGTGGTTTGTGGAGAGGCTGGCAGTAGTGTTTGTGGAGAGGCTGGCAGTGGTGTTTGTGGAGAGGCTGGTAGTAGTGTTTGTGGAGAGGCTGGCAGTAGTGTTTGTGGAGAGGCTGGCAGTAGTGTTTTGTGGAGAGGGCTGGCAGTAGTGTTTGTGGAGAGGCTGGCAGTGTGTTTGTGGAGAGGCTGGCAGTAGAGTAGTTGTTTGTGAGAGGCTGGCAGTAGTGTTTCTTAGTGTTTTGTGGAGAGGCTGGCAGTAGTGTTTGTGGAGAGGCTGGCAGTAGTAGAGGCTGGCAGTAGCTGGCACTAGTGTTTGTGGACAGGCTGGCACTAATGTTTGTGGACAGGCTGGCAGTAGTGTTTGTGGACAGGCTGGCAGTAGTGTTTGTGGACAAGCTGGCACTAGTGTTTGTAGCCAGGTTAGCACTAGTGCTTGTGGACAGGTTGGCACTAATATTTGTGGACAGGCTGGTACTATTGTTTTTAGGACAGGCTGGTACTAATAATACCAGTTTGTTTTTGTTTAACTTTTTCTGTTTAGTTTTGTATACTAAGTTTATATTTTATTATATGGGGAAAGCCAGCTGAAACGGTACCATACTACCCACGTATTCTAGAACCCCTCCTTTGCCCGCTACCACTCTCATGGGGTTCTAGGTTCTTCAGGGAGAAAAATTATATAATTCCAAATTGCGTAGGGCACCTCCTGGGATATGGAGCAGCATACTCTCACAGTATGATGAGTATAAATGTAAAATTGTAAAAGGTATACATTTTTTTTTATTACAAATACTAAATGCTGGCACGCAAGGTTATTAATAAGATGGCATTAATCATAAACTGCCACACTATGTTCAAAAGGTTGCCGACCCCTGCCGTATTAGAACCATCTTTTTATGTATCATTTATGAAAATGATTGACGATTGTTTAGGTTGAATTTTGTCTTAATAGCCACCATATGTTACAGCATCAAGACTATGATTTGCGCATGTGAATACACACATGAAAGCAGTGCGTGATTACTTTCCTTAGAATTTATTAATAGAATAAGGGCCATAGTTATCAAATTATTGTTCTGAGCACGGGTGCACCGACAAGTGTGAAAATGATTCTTATTTTACACTTTAGTGAAGTAATACGAACCCTAACTGAGTAGTAAGGTGATCAAATAAAATGTTAGTATCAATCCACATTGCTGAAGCATTTATTGTGTTAGATGTACATATCGCATATAAGCAACTATCTGTTTATGGATGTTACGTGCATGTACTATATTTGAGCGACTATTAAAAAGAAAAAATGCATATATAACTACACAACCTTAAATACCACCACCTAATCAAGGGTTTATACAAATACTAAATATACATAGGTCAGATTTACTAGAAATTTTCACAAACTACATGACACAACTAAAATCTGGTAATTATTGAGCATTAAAACCACATCTAATGTAGAGACAACTACGTAGTGAATCATAAAAAAAGACTTGTTAGCTGGCGATTAGCATTTTGTGGTGTTGCTACTAACAGAAACATTTACTTCGGAACAGAATATCCAAAGTCCTCCGGTTGGCATGAAGTCGACAGATGTTTGAATACAGAATACGACAGATGTTTGCACTTTGCTAACGAGGTCCGCAACTCAATTCATTAGCAAAAGTAGGATGGATAAATAAGGGGTTGAAAGAGCACTGACCATGAGAAGAATATGAAGTATGCTGATAATAAAGGTTACACTGGAGGCGCAGTATCACCAAGCAAGGAAAACAGCTTAAAATCCAAAGACTGATAGATAGGAAAATGTTAAAAAAGACACTTCCTCTTCATTCCCTACCGAGTTCATTGGAGGCAAAGAACCCGAGAATCTTCAGGGTAGCAGAGACGCGCTCGATCAACGGCTCCTTATACTTCCAAATGGCCGTGTCCAGCACTGTATTTTTTCTGAATTCATTTTTGCAAAGCTGACGCAGTGAGTCGATGCATTCACTGCGGTAATGCTGCAGCTGCGCTATTTCCGTGGGGATGGAGTAGTACCGACACTTTCCCAGACACGAAGAGGGATAGTGGTTGTGAAGCGTCAAGACGAGCTGGGTGTCGTGGAAACACTTGACGGAGTGACGAGGTTTGGTGTGGTTCCTGGCTCGATACACGTGTTGGAGGATATGCATGTATTGCGGAATGTCATTGAAGAAGCCATGTTTCTCTATCATGGAGTCCAGGAAGTAGACGTTGCGTGCGTCGAAGGAGGTTCTCGGAACCGGGTTCTCCTTGAAAGCTTGTTCGACAACAACTTCCATCAGAGTTCTCCAAGAAGAATGGTTCTTTGGGACGATAATCTCATCTATATCTAATAGAACCACATATTTGTAATTGTAGATATTTCTGTAGAGGCAGTCGTTGTAAGGGATGAGTTCGTTTAGAAGTTTATCTAGAATTCTAGTATTAAGATAGTGATGGCTGAGTTCAGGGATGTTCGGCTGGTCTCCGGGCAATGTGAGTTTGGTCAAGTCCACAAAACCGGTTTCCTGATAGTACTTCAGGACCTTGGCCGTGTTCGGGTGCACTTGCAGGTCGTACATGAACACCTTATCAGCTCCCAGGAGGTAGAGTGTCTCCAGCCACTCGACAAGGAAGATGCTTTTGTCTTCGTGATAAATGTCGAGGCCTTTGACGCACACAGCAAAGTCTTTGGTCTGACCTTCTGGTGGACGATTGTTAACGACCCTGAGGTTTGTTGTGGCTGTGTCGCACGGCTGCTCTACGAGGGACACAGACTCTGGCACCTGATGTGCATAGTCAGATGGCATTTGGCACGATAGCAAACAAGGGCGAAGTAATCTGTATGTGATATGGCTAAAGGTGGTCCATATGTAAGTGTGGCCAGACACCTTTGCAAACACAGGCTTGTTTTGTCCGAAGAGCCAAAACTGGCAGAAGATGCTGACTTGCTGGACGACGCGGTCCATCATTCCCAGAACGCGCACAATCGGTCCATCTACCGTAGTTCTGTTGTCATAATACGCACCGAACAGGTAGAAG